TGTGTGTTTTGCAGCACTGTGCACGCCTGTCTGTCGAAATGGAGGAAGATGTGTGGATGTCAACAAATGCATATGTGTTGGAGGTTGGCAAGGAGCTAGATGTCAAATAGGTGAGATTTTCACTTTCCTGCTACTTAATCTGATATAAAGTAGTAAATGATAGTATCAGTAGTAGAAGTAGTAAAATTAGCAGATTTTCTGTGTTTCACCTGTTAGTTATTTTTCTTTTTCAATTTTTGTGGGTGACACTTGCCTTTTAAATTTAGGTAAAATTAATCAAATTTTACCCAAACTTTACTCAAAAAATGTTGCACGTTGTTTCACTGTATGTGCATGATGTTTTAAATTATAACGGTATGTTTTTCCGATGACAGCTGTTCCATATGCAACGTGTGTCACGAACAGTGGTTTGATGTCGAACCCAAGTGCAGGCAGATCACAGAAACTCTGAGAATATAATAATAAATAAGTTATTAACAAAAACAAGGAGCTGCTGTGGCAGCAAAAACTTACCTGGGATCGAGGAGACACACATTTATTTATTTATTAACCTTTATTTAACCAGGCAAATCCCATTGAGATCACAGATCTCTTTTGTAAGGGAGGCCTGGGCCTGAAGGCAGCCTAACATGCATGCTTTTGGTATGTGGGAGGAAACCAGAGTACCCGGAGAAAACCCACACAAGCATGAGAAGAACATGCAAACTCCACACAGAAAGACCCCAGGTCCAACCGGGGATTGAAGACCTTCTTGCTGTGAGGCAACAGTGCTAACCACTGAGCCATCGTGCTGCCTGAAGGGAGGAACATGGAACCATACCAAGACAATGCCCAGACCACAAAGAACAGGAGACACAGACTTATATACAGAAATCAGTGAAGAGGCAGAGTGAAAACTCCTGGGACAGACAACAGGTGTAGGAGGCAGGGACTTGTTTTCATGACAGAGAGCAGGACAGACCACAAGAGGGAGACACGCACTAGGAACACAATCCTTATATAGTTGTAACAATAAAACGAGAAGAGTCAGATGTAGTGTTGTTAATAATCAATGATAACAAGCCTAAACAAGAGCAATTATACGTTAGAGAACTGCTTCTCACAGTCTAAGGAAACCCAGACTGCAGCACTTCGAAGCTAAAGTTGCATACACACTCCAGTTATCTTGCTCAGCTGTTTGACAAGTGTTTATTTTTTCTGGTCTCTGACTCTTACTGAGTTATACAAATGAAATGTGTAGAATAAAATGACTTCAGCCTTCATTCTTCTTCTGCTCTCTCAGAGCCTGTTGAGTGCCAGAAGCCTTGTAAGAATGGTGGCACGTGCGTGGGCCTCAACAAGTGCCGCTGTCTCCCAGGATTCACTGGTAGTGTTTGTGAATCAGGTTTGTAATGTATTTGCAAATAGGTGAATGAAATATTTTTGTCCTCACTTGGCGTAAAGACTTACTCTGTTGGGTGTATCTGCAGCCATAACCACACCGTGTGTCCCACCCTGTCAGCATGGAGCCACGTGCAGCCCACATAACACCTGCACCTGTGCAGAGGGCACCACAGGCCTGCGCTGTGAGAGGCTGTAAGTGATTTAAACACAAGCAGCATGTACGTCACATACAACAGCAGCTTCTCTGTGACGTGCTCTTGGCCTTTATTTCATGCCTTTTCGTCTGTCCCAGGACGTGCCCTGTGGTCACCACTGTGGTCAACACAGCTCGGGCGGTGAGGAAAGCATTCAGGCAGAGCTTTGTTGATCGCTGTGGACCTATGGGAGTTCAGCTTTGCACTAAATACAGGTTATGTTTTTCCTACAATGTTGTCCTGTACAGATTAACTCATTAAGTAGCTGTCTGGCTGATTACCTCATGTTTTTTCTGCTTTGTGTTTGTGTTTCCAGGATGAATCAGGCACGAGTTTACCTGCAGGCTTATAGAGTTGGCTACAAAATCCAGTGTCCTGGACAGAGGGGAAGATGATCAGTGCTGGATACAACAAAAAACTGCTTTTCATCTCCATTGAAAAACATTTTGGACCACATGTGAAGTCAAAAACACTTGATCTGAATCAAGACGACCTCGTACTGTGAAACTAGATGAGCCAGAACAAGTGTGAGGGTCTGAGGGGAGTTTCACTCTAACATCAGCCACTGGCACTGGTGAAGACGAGGAAAAGGCTCCATTCTGACCAGGTTCTCTTTGAGGAAAACAAAAAATGATTGTCACTCGTAGTAATAGCAAGAATGATGGTAGTGCAAAGATCACAAGCTGATCTGAAAAATAACAAGTAGGACCTGTGACCCCTGACCTTTGTACTTCTTGAATTGTCTGAGGTTTTTTTTTTTTTTTTTAAATATATATATATATATATATATATATATATATATATATATATA